CTTCACTTTTTCCCCGTGCTTTTAGATACGAGCACTCCGTCTTTATGTCTTTGGTCGTAAACTTTCTAAGTTTGAAGCTTCGATTTGATGAATCATTTCAAGTATATTCATATGGCCTTAGTAATTTTTCTTCAGTGACCACTCGCAAAGCATTATTGAACGTCTGACATCCTGAAATAACCATCCCTTTCGTAAATATCGAAGAATTCCGTTTACTCATCTCGCCTTCGGCATGGTCCTTTTGGAGAATGACGTGGTAAGTTACTTATGCTCGCAATTTTCCCTTGCCACATTCTCACTTTTCAGTGAAAATTTCTATCAGCACACGTTAGAAAGTGACTATAACTGTTCAGCAATGAATTCTGTATTGAAGGATAAATAAGCTGTCCTGCCGAGTGGGTCCTCTGTTTTGAGGTTATGCAGTATCTGCAACACCACATCCATAGCAGATGGGAATCACTCGGACGTATGACTTAAGAACCTGAAATTACAGGGTAATATTTTCACCTTTTCCCTCAAACTTGCGAGCGAATAAAATTAGTAACTAACTCGGAATTGAACAGGCGTAGCTACGCACTTCATTGTGCATTTTACAGACCTATATGCCTCTGATGATGAATGGAGGCAGGTAGAGTTCACGCCAAACAAGTTTACACACTTTAAGAGAGTGATAGAAAATGCACCACCTTGACTCATGAATTTACTATTTGTGATCAATTGAAGATAGCTGATCTTCTGTCACACTCTGAAACTGCTTTAACTTGAGTTGCGTGAACTCTAAATTGAATTGATGGAATAAGGTTTTTTTTAACCAAACTGCAAAGGAACGTGATGAAATGCCGCACTGTTTTATACAGTCTTCTTGCGCAGTCCAGCTAATTCCCTGTGTCCAGTTGGACCGCTAAGAATGCTTCAGGACGCTTCTCACAAGGTGGGTTGCGAGTAGTCACGTGCGATCCTAACCTCAGTCGAACCACTTCGTAACATGAAGACCATGATCTACCGCATTCCATGGTTAAAAAAGAGCCTTTATGATGCCCGTCTGATTGACAATACATTATGTTTTGTTTACTAGATTGTGCATCTGATTCCCACATTTTTATTTTGATGGTTGTTATTCTACTAGCATTGATATTTGATTTATTTTTTTGTCTTCCAGTTTTTAACCCACCTGAAAGAGATGTTTGCCAAATCGCGCCAGAAAGGAACAGTACAGCTAACAATGAAACGATGTAAGTTTTCCTCCTCTCTTTTCTTTCAAAAGTATATCTCTTAAACTCATTAATTAATACGCAATGATATCGATCCAGTATGACAGTCAGTAATATATGTTTTTATAGTAATAAATAAAATTAGAAGACATGTGAATAGCATTTTGCAAAAAGGAACCAAGAGTATTCCAATGTTGCTAGGATTGTGCAACTTACAATTCTTCGCATTAGCATTACTGATACCATGCGAATAATTATATTTACAAAAATGATTTTTGTCTTGGATTTATTGTTTATTGGAAATAAAGCTAAAACTTGTATAGATGATCAGTTTATAATTGCAAGGTAAAAAAAATGCACAATCTTAGCGACATTGGAATGCTCTCGGTTCCTTTTTGCAAAATGCAATCCATGTATTTTACTGACCTCACTTCATTGAATTTTAGCTGAGAAAATGATATTCAATTTTGTTGAAAATCTAACCTCATATTCAAAGAAGAAGTATCCTTAAAACGGCTTTTGTGAGAATAGTTGATGAATTGGCCTGCTTAGCTGTTTCCACTGCTGCTGTTCTTGTTCTTTGCCAAATTTAGGTAATTCTCATGTCCCTATACTTAGTAAGTGAATTTTTTGTTTCAGATGATGGTAGAACAAAACCTAGACCGAAAAATCCTGACAAAGAACTCCCTGAACCCTCTGAACACTTATGTTTAATTCGCGCAGTTCACAAATCTAAAAAACTTAGCACTGTTGTAAGTACATATGTATATTGAATGCACATACACTGTTCACAGCTCATTTTTCATAAACTTGTGCTGTTATGCCAGTGCAGGTGTATGTTTTATTGGCTGCTACCTTTCTTTTTCAGACCGCTTCTATGGTTGCTGTGTTTAGACTTTGTCCAGAGGTGGCTTCGGCCACCCATGATCCTCTCATCAGGGGTACAAAAACTTTCAAAGGTCCCTCCCCCTCCAAAAAAAAAACAAATTTAGGCGCCCCCCCCCTTTTCCAGTT